TGTTCGGGTGCAATAGGTCAACAGCAACAGCGTGCATGTGAGGTTTCTGGCACATTTTAGTTGAAAACTAACACGCACACCCTGTCAGAGGAAACAATGAGGAAATGAATCGGAGGTTTTAGGAAGAACTGGTCTGTTTGAGGATGTCCACACATGAATCCCTCTGTCTAAACCTGGCCTGTACATTTTAGGGGGAGTACAACACAACAACAACAACAACAGATTTTGGAGTCTTTCCAGATGTTTTTGCCTCCCGACGACTAACCAGTGTTACAAAGGCCAACTGGTGGGGAGGGGGGCCAGGACTGATGACACCATCTGCCTTGCGTTTGCATTTCCACTGTTGAAATACAAACATGAGAAACTAGTTCACAGATAAAAACCTGATGTATTGACTTCCATTAAGTCCAAACTTGACTTCCACTGAAAGAATCTAAAAGGAATCAGAAATTAAAAAGCAAAACATTTTTTCAAGACTTAACTAAATTTTACTCCTAAAAACCCTGAATTCCCACCATGTTAGGATTTCTCTAAAGACCGGCGAGATCAGAGCAGCAGAGGCACGAAGGCCAACGTGAAGCCTTGAGGTGACTCAACTTTAAGAACAACTAAACACGTTTTGTTTGCCCCTGTGAGGCATCTTTGTGTGAAATGATGGATCCTCTGAAATGAAAACTTTAACCGTGTTCAAAGCAGAGGAAATAATGACTGTAATTTATGCCCTCTTTCATTTTAAATTAAAATTTCTCCGTTGGTTTATGGACATACCTTTTATCATGCTGAGTTTTAAGCCAAGCAGCTGACGCTCAGCAGCGAACGCACCCCGCTGGGTTTTGTGTCAGTTGCATGAATTAAGGCAGGATGCCCGGCGGGAAGCTGCAGATCAGAAGTGAGGAAGACAAACAGCTCCACTTAAAGAGCAGCAATGTGAAGACACCATAAAAGATGTTTGCGTTAAACTCCTCATGTTGTGATTCATTACAGCTGGGACTAACATAAGTGCAGAATGTTCTATGACAGAGAAATGTCCCAGCTCTGGACAAACATGTCAGACGAAGAGATGTGGCACCAGGTGGGTGGGATTAAAAGTTACAGCTGGTCTCAGAGAGCTCAGTGATTTTTTTGAGGAGACTTTGCTCTGGCCTAAAAATGTTCATCTGATCACACGTCATGTCACACAACCACAGCAACAACAGGAACTCTGCCCTTTGAATGATCAGATAACTCCATCCACATCCAGCCACAGCAGCTTTCGCTGGACTACAACAAGAGTCAGGCTAAAAGCTAAACTTTAATAAATTCCAGGCTTATTTTTAACATTATACATAAACTAACACCATTCACATCAGGATTTAAATGCGGCTCTTTAAAAAGGTGGCCAGGATTTGTAGTGATCAAGACTTCGACCCTCCACTCAGTGGCGGTTACTGAGATGGACCCTGTTGGAGATGTGTAAATTTAATTAACCTTGATTCCCTCCTGTTGTTGGGATGTGAGCAGCTGTTTGGTCAGAGGAGGATTTTAATTGGACGGTGGCTGCAGGGAGGCAGATCGACTGTTATTTCTTTCCATAAATGAACCTGTCTTTAAGATGAAATGACCTTCGGGTTTAAGCTCGCTACAGCCAGTGGCCAGTTTTCAGTTTGTTCTGGGGTGAGAATATTCACCAGCCCAAATCCTCCCTGTTTCCTCTCTGCTGGAGGCTGCCGATAACAAACAGCACTCATTAGCAGCGAGCGGCTGCTGACTAAGAGCAAACCACAGATCTGACCACTGTCACGGTGACAGTGTCACTGGGGACAATTGCGGCTCAGGGATCGAAGGGAAGGAAAGAGAAAGAGAAGGTGCAGATATGAAGAAGGAAGGAGACACAGAAAACAGAAGAATGTGAACAGTGAGGAGGCTGTGAAGAAAGAGAAGAGAAAGAGGTAAAATAGAAAGGACACGGACATGGACGGAAAGGA